CACTGCAGGGTGAAGAGAGAAACACTCGCGGATGCTCATTTCAGAGAATTAGAACCTACGCAAGCCACGTAATTAGAATAAGATAGTTTTACATATTCATCGCAGGGGAAAGGAAAGCCGATATGACATCTTAACCATATGGCGAACCACGGCCTCTCGTCCGGTTACCATTCCATGTCGGGTATGGAATTAGTTAGTTATTTGTTTTCGGGAGCATGCACTTGATGGTGAAGGAAGCCGTAACTAACCAGCGGTCACGTGGTCTCGCACATAACTATCCTCGCATGGGATTGGAACCTGCGAACCCACGCAGAGTAATCAGAGGCGCGAGCGTATTCCTAACGTTTAGCACGATGAGCCACCCCACTGCGCCAACACATGAAGCAATAATTGATTGTACTTTTAAATGTAAATGTACCGCTTTAGAAAGATTTTTTTTCACTTTTTTCATTGGTTCAACAACTTGTACTCACCCCTGGTTGCTTTCGGCAACTTCTTGCCTTCCCTGATGACTTCCGACGTTTCCGTGATCCCGATGTAAAGGCATTGCCCTGCCCCGTTTAGCCTTGCGTATCTGAAACGATTTTAGGCGTTCCCAGAATAATTTCAATAAATACTCAACTAGGTAAACACTTTAATATTAGCATGAATCTCATATATAGGATATAGCAACAACGAAATTCAATTATAATTTGGAAACCGCAGTAATGAATGATAGAAAACTATATTTCCCCTTTTTCTTTCATTTTCCTCTTTTTTCTATTCAATTGTATTTATTTATTGCGTTGCTCTTAGCTTAGGAAATAATGGACCTGGCACTTGAATTTTTCTAAATACACCTACTAACCCGGGAGAGTCTATAAATAAATTATTGTCTCTGCTGTAAATATACGCTGTCAAAGCCAAAGGCTCCAAGTATTTTCAAGAATAATAGGGCGTCATTACAAGTTGCACAAGTCCATTTAAAATTTGGGTTGAAAGAAAACGGAAAAAGATGCATATGTGACCCTTGTTGACTGGTATGGAAAACTGCTTGAAGGTCGTGAATTCTCGAACTGTATATACAAGAGGTTTCTATTCACGTACACGCGTTTAATATTGTTGCAGCAATAGTTAGGCATTTTGTTTGGTAAACATTCGTGATACTCACATCTTCAATGCTGTGAGGATATGTTTGCGCTCCTCCACGCAATCGGATACTGTCTCCATCATCACGCGACGTATTTGGGCGCCATCTTGGGGGATCGTCCTGTCAGGAAATTTAATGATGGTAAAAAAAATTTACCCTACACCGTGATTATTAGCATGGGTTCGCACTATTCCTAGTTTGCAATTCCAGAACAATTAATAAAGGAATAAACCAAACAAATAAAGAGGAATATTTATTATAAGGCCTCGAATTCAATATCCAGTACTGCCAAATAAATTTCGAATATCGTAATATTTGACTTACGTTTTTAATTGCCATTGAATCAAAATTAAATCAATCAAAACAAAGTGAAGCCACTACCCCTTCACGCATGCCACAACCGGCATATAAAGGCTACTGTGAGCTTCAAAGTAGCATCTATTGAATGGCTAAAAATTATGAAATTAGAGAAGTGATCTTCATCTTGAAGGTTAAAAGCTACGAAGTGAGGCAATTGCTTTTGTGAATAAAACATGAGAAATTCAGAAAAAATACCCTTAAAAAGCTTATCAAAATTTGTTAAAGACAGCTTGGCTTATTACTATGACTTTCTTATGAAATGATGCAATTCCATTGCCTTTATAAGTGTATCCAAACATAAAGCATTGTTTACCTCCGTTACATTTATATCCGATATTTTTCCTTTATATTCCAAGACTCTAAACATGTACAGACGACGATTATTTTCCGAATACCATGAACCGTTTTTGTACCAAACAGAGATCGGAGGGAAGTCGGAAACGAAAGTCTCTCCTTGCAGGATTTCATGAATGACGTCATTAACCTTTTTTTTTCCATTAGAGGAAAAGTTAGGCCCAATATCGTCTTGACTGAAGCGAATTTCTGAAGGCTTCATGTTAGATTGATGATTGAGCATACTAGGCAATACAATTTTCCCTTAAAAATAGACTGAATGAAAGCAATCTTGTCGTAGGAACAAGTAAAGAAAATCTAAAAACCGTGAATGAATACAAACAAAGCTAAAAATGAATACAAATATATTCACATAACATATTAAAAAAATGCATAATAGTAAGGCTATTGAAGAATTCAATATGAACAAACAAACCTACAAAAATAGACGATATTACTGACTGTTCCTATTGATGACACAAGAACGTAATAAGGGCAGTCAGGGGCATGGATTTTGTGCTCCAGTTCTGTAAACCGTGATATCAACGTTTTTAATTATAATGCTCTAGCTTTTAAGAACCAAGGTTCAGTAGATACAGTAGATGTACAGGACCGATTCTAGGAAAATTCGCCGCATGAAATTTCGCTGTATAGGAATAATAGCCGCATGAAAAATCGCCTTATTTAAATAAGATTCGATATTTAAGAGCATAAAACTAACTGCTTGTATCGCAAATACTTGTTTTACAGCAAAATGCTCTTGACTTTTTTTTCTATGCGGCAAAATTTCTTACGGCGAGATTTCCTACGGCGGAATTTTCCGGACACGTGCAGAACCTGCCTGTGCCCACAAAAGACGCGAAAAAGCGTAAAAATGCGCGGGTAACTAAAGCAATGAATAAAACTGCTGTACCTGAATGTTGATAAGTCTTGTATCTCAATTTCTCGAATTTTGTACAATAACTATTTCATCTGGACAAAGCATTGCTATAGTATGCTGGTCTGAAACGTTAAAATTTGTGGAAGTGCCATGTAAACATTTTAAACAGTATGACTCCTGAGGTTTCGTCGAGCGCTTCCAAATTCGATGTATTCAGACCATGAACGACGAAGTTCGAGATCTTTACTGGCTCCGGCTAACATTCTATACAACCTGATATTTTGAGGAAGCAAATACTCAATTTTTTATTGATATTTATCCAATATATGCGAGCAAACGAGCTATTCTTCCGGAGAGATTTCTAGTTTTGTTAGACCAGCGCTTCCCAAACTGTGTTCCGCGCGCGTGCCGAACCTGCCTGTGCCTACGAAAAACGTAAAAAGCGTGAAAAATGCGCGGGTAACTAAAGCAATGAATAAAACTGCTGTACCTGAATGTTGATGAGTCTTGTATCTCAATTTCTCGAATTTCGTACATTACCTACTTCATTTGTACAAAGCATTGCTATAGTATGCTGGTCTAAAACGGTAAAATTTGTGAAAGTGCCATGTAAACATTTTGAACCTATCAGTATTGCGACCTATCATCGGTTATGTGTGCGTTCATATTTAAGCAAACAAGATAATCACCTACGACATTCTAACAAGTCAAAATTAATTACACATCGTTGTTTTGTATCAGACATTCTCGCAATATGCACGTATATCATGAAATAAGCAAATATTTACACAACGTATTACACTCATGAGATATTACAAATAACACCACTAGCCATTTTAAAGTTAGCATTATACTCCACCAATATATCGATACGTGTAATATTTATAGTCACTGTAATTTGGAGCATTGCGCATATTTCCCAGCAAGGAAAACCATTATACTATAGTGTAAAATAAGATACAATATTTATATACCTGTACACATACGACAATACGCCCCATACAACTCAAGCCATAAAGATTTTATCAGTTTTAAACTATAGTCAAACATAGGGCGAAACGCTGTATGTTTAATTACGTGAAAGTAAAGTCAATTAATTCAATGCAAACGCGACAGCAAAGTCAAACAAAAAACAGCACTCGGTTAAGGTAAATTCCCTAACCATAAATGCGAGACCTTTATGGTTTAGGCAAGCAGCCATTGGAACATATTATTTTACTGATATTTAAGTATTTAAAATTTTCAATCTTGCCAGTTAGGTAATAAAAATCATTGGGATACCACGTATCTCCTTAGCCCGTATGGCAGAGCCCCAACGAAACACAGAAAACTTTTATACCAAGATAATAAAAACGGATGAGACACGGAAAGCTACAGTAGTATTTATGCCAAAAATACCATATCGGTGAAAGTCATTCCCACGTAACTCTAAGCTCGAATAATTTTTAAATCAAAATATAGAAATATGCTGAGCCATCAAAAAAACCGACTCCAGAAGTCAACTGCTACGTCTATCCTATAATACGCCATTGCTAGAATACCTGATACCACTGTTCTGCATTTCAATAGTGTATGATGACCTTCAGCAAAAACAAAACAAAAAACTAATGAAAGGCTACCTCATGCTGCTATTTGACTTGAACGATAGTTTTGCTTTAAGCAATATCTCATTACACTAAATGTTTTAATAATATTACTGCTCAAAACAGATTGAGTCTGAATCGCCTGACCACTTATTTCATTACATTTCTCCGGCTCTCCGGCCGCCTTTTCCTTGGTGCACTAACCACGTGCTTATTTTGCTTAGTGGTTGATTCAGCCCTGGCTACAACATCTTTGCATTATTATTAGCCTACAAATCTGTAGAAATTATAGAGCAAAACTAAATAGAGTTAATCATGCGTTTTAACCCAAACTAATACCTTCAGTGAAATCAAAAATTAACAGTATTGAAGTTACAGTGAATTGCCAAGTCAAGTCAAGTTTATTTTTTCGAACCAGTAAAATTTTTTTTACACGAGTACATATTACAAGAAAATATTATAATACATAATTTGTCTGGGGAAGGGAAGTCGTAAAGAATCAAAGCTGGGTATCGAACAGCGACACCCGAGGTTCTAATGAATCTAATATCTACTTTGAGAGGGTTGGAATTCTAGAGTTTTGGAACTACTGATATTGCCGGTGAGTACTGTATGAAATTTCTAACTAACACCGTTTACCAGATATTATATATCAGAGGTTAGATTAATTAAAGAGCTATAAGACCAACAGATGGATGGAGAATTCCCCATTTCAACGGAATCACCTGAAGCAACTGCTGTTCTGAAAGTACGTATGGGGAATTTTGAAGGTGACATAGAAAACCACGTGTTTACAGTGTGAAGTGCATTGATAGAAAATGTAGTAAGACGGAACATTTAACGAATGGCATTTTTCAACAGTATTGAAGTTACGGGTAAATGCTATTTATATTCATATTTTCAAATAAATCTTTTTATATCACTGGATGGCGCATTCTTCATTTTTCGGATTCTCCGGTTGCTGTTGTTGACGACGTCTGTCATTTTGATTCTGTTAAACAAATGTGCGTCAATAAATATGTGTCAAATATATTTTAAGTCATACTATGCACACAACGGGGGTGATTGAAATGCGGTAATATCTAACTTGTTTTGTTCACTATCCAAATATAAAAATTTTCAATTTCAATAGCTATATCTGATGCACATTTTCTATTTTATAAAACTAAATATGTATTGTATGTTGAATATGTCTAACTAGAAAAGAGGTTAACGCTTTCAAACACCGACAAGACAAGTCAGTTATAGTAGTTTGTCAGCATGGAATGTAACAAATGGATGAAAAATATCACGTGGAAAATGACGAATTTATCAATATTTAATTGTATATAATGTCGCGGCGGAGTATTAAGTAATCTCGTATCAGGATTCTGCCCAGCTTTTGAATAATTCACGATTTATTTAGGAAATCTTGGGAAGGAATGACATTTTCCATGCTTTACTAATATCACTGCTTACGACGGGATTACTTGTCGTTCGACACTCACATTTTCTCTATTTTACGACGCCATGGCAGCAGCTCCAGCAGCCAGAAGTGCCCCTCCCACCAATGCAGCAGTTCCCCAAGCCTGTCTCAACCTGTCCTGTTTAGCCTCTCGTATCTGAAACAGATAACACGATACTAGGCGTTACCAGAATACCTTTAATAAATATTCAACTAGGCAAACGCTTAATTATTAGCATGAATCACATTATTAGCACGGCTTCTTAGTAGATGCCGAAACTTGTACAGCCGAATTTAGCGAAATTCGATTATGATTTGTAAAAAATTCGAGTTGGTTATAGAAAACCGTATTAAACCCCTGTCATTTCCCTCCTCTTTATATTCCACTTTATTTATTGCGTTACTCTTATTTTAGGAAATAATAGATCTGGCTCTTGAACTTTTCAAAATACGCCTATGAACATGGGAGAGACTATAAATACATTTTTTGTCTAAGGGCCCTCTGCTGTCAATATACGCTGACAAAGCCTAAGTGTTTTCAAGAATAGGATCAGGAAGTCATTTCAATTGCACAAGGCCATTTCCAATTTGAGATAAGAGGACACAGAAAAAGCTACATATGGTGCTATTTATTTACGTACATGCGTTTTATATTTCTGCAACAATATTTAGGCATTTTATTTGGAAAGAGTGCATGATACTCACATCTTCAATGCTGTGAGGATATGTCTCCACTCCTCCACGCAATCGGATACTGACTCCATCATTTCGTGACGTATTTTGGCGCCATCTTGGGTGAGATGTCTATCGAGCAAAAAATAATTTAGCGGTGGAAAAAAATTATTGAAATAAGTTATCAATAGCATGAGTTTGAATTATTCATAATTTGGAATCATTTATACGAAAAAATAAACCAAACAAATAAAAAGAAGTATCTATTATAATGACACGAATGTAATATTCAGTGCTGTCAAATAAATTTCGAATATCGTAATAATATACTGAAGATTTTAATTGACCATAACTCAAAACAAAGTGATGCCACCACCGACCGCGCATGCCACAACCAACATCTAAAGAGCTAGTATGACTATAAGGACATCTAATATAAAAAAGGGGTGACCTACACCTGGGTTGGCGAGACTTCGAATGGCTAAAATCCATGAATTCACAGAAGTAGACGAGCTTTATCTCGAACAATGAAAGCTTCGAAGTATAGCAATTGCTTTTGTGTATAAAACTTTCGAAATTCTCACATAAAATGATGCAATTTCATTGCCTTTATAGGTATATCGGAACATAAAGCATTGTTTACCTCCTCTACATCTATATTCGATATTTTCCCTTTATATTCCAAGACTCTAAACATGTAAAGTCGACGATTATCTTTCGAATACCATGAATCGTTTTCGTACCAAACAGAGATCGGCGGGAAGTCCGAAACAGCAGTCTCTCTTCGCAAGATTTTCAAGATGACGTCATTAATATTAATGCCATTAGAAAAGTTAGGCGCAATATCATCTTGACTAACTTTAAAATGTTAAAATATAAAAACGTACTATATACAAAATATAAAAAGTAGACTGAATGAAAGCAAACTGTCCACGGGAACAACTAAAATACATCTGAATACCGTGAATGAATACAAACCAAGGTAAAATAAATACAAAAATATTTACATTCACATAACCTATAAATGAATTATAGTCAGTCGTTAGAAGAATTTGATATGAACAAATAAACTGCCAAACAGAAAAACTCTAGTTTTAATAAGCTAGAGTTCAGTATATGCCTGTATAAGACCTGCCTGTGCCTACGACGTAAAAGGCGTAAAAAAGCGTAAACAATGCGTGGGTGAATAATGAATGAAACTGCTGTACCTAAAGGTTGGTAAGTCTTGCACCACAATTTCTCAAATTTCGAACACTAACTATTTTATCTGGACACAGCATTGTTTTTGTATGCTTGTCTGAAATGTTAAAAATTTGAGAAAATGCCATATAAACATTTTGAATCTATCAGTATTGACGGTTATGCCTGCATTTTTATTTTCACAAAATAAGATAATTACCTACGACATTTTAACAAGGCAAAATTAATTACACATTGTTGTTTTGTATCAAACATTCTCGCAATATGCGGGTATACAATGAACTAGTCAAATATTTATACATGTGTTACAATAATTAGATAATATAATAACGCCATTACCCCCTTCAATGTTAGCATCATACTCCACGAATACATCGCTACATACAATTTTGGGTTATGCGCATATTTCCCAGCATTGAAAAACATTATACAATAGTAGAAAATAAAATTCAATAATATACCAGTCCTATACAAACACGATAATACGTCCCACGCAACTCAAGCAATAAAGATTTTATCAGTTACTATAGTCAAACATACGGCGAGATTTTGTATGTTTAATAACCGAATGTAAGGTCAATTTATTCAATGCGAACGCTATGTTTAACTATGCGACTGCAAAGTCAATTACAGTAATTTGATGCGACTGCAACGCTAATCGAAATTCAACTCTCGGTTAATGGAAATTCCCAAGGAATAAGGAATACAACTTAATTTATGCATGCCTGACGTCTTTCTACATATGCGGGACCTTCACGATTTAAGCAGGCAGCCAATAATATGTACAAGTTTACTAGCACCCCAGGAAATGATATATTTTTATCCCCTCTGTCTGGAAAATCGAATCGAAATTCAGCTCTAGGTTAGGAGAAATTCCCTAAATAGGAAATACTACTTAATTTATGCATCCCCAAATTTCGTTTTCATGAATAAACTAACTATTCTCAAATGTTGCGAAACGCTGCATACGTGCATACGTGTTCGTCGGAAAATTTCGTTTTCATGAATAAACTAACTATTCTCAAATGTCACAAACGCTGCGACAACATTACGTTACCAACAACGTAATGCGACGTCACGTCACGCACGATTGTAAATTTATCACGCAAATGCAACAGAGCGATCGATATTCTCAATCACGTGACGCCGAGGTGTTAATATTTAACTGTCCATACTAGGGCTGGGCATTTTCGAATACCTGATGATTTCAGAATCGAATAATTTTTTCGAATCGAATCTCGAATACTTGGAACATTTATAATTGTATGTAACTTTCCTATTGTATTGGGTCCTCCAGACACCTGAATTACTAACAACCTGAAATACATCACTCAGACAGATTGCTTAGCGTTCACACACCATGAAAAACACGTTTTTCATCAATACCTCACTACAGAAAAGATGGCGGCGATTCGAAATTTCGCTCTGAACCGATTCAAATAATTTACTATTCGATTCGAAATGCCCAGCCCTAGTCCATACACGATCACTATTTAACCCGATGTTACGCATTCTGAGCGCATAGCCTTGAAATTGACTGTCAGCCCAAGCTACATAAACTGGTGACAACACGTCCAAGACATAAACCAGGTCATGGTTTATTTTTAAATAGCAGAACAATAAAAAACATGAAACCATACCGAACGTTGTATCACGTTGTGCGACTTAACATAATTCATAAGACATTAGGAGTTGCAGGCTGCATGCATGAAAATCTACCCCCAAGATCAGCATAGCTAAAGTCGTTCAAACTTTGTTCTTCCGAAAAATAAAGATTGCCTAGCGAATCTTACAGAGATTTCAACATATTAATACTTCGAGAATCGAATAAGACCGAACATGAGTAATACATTTAAGATGCGTTTTTATATCAGTATGTCTCCTGAGTTTTCGTCAGGCGCTTCCCAATTTGATGGACTCAGAAAGTGAACGATGCAGTTTGAGATCCTTCCTTGCTCCGACTAACATTCAATACAATCTGATATTTTGAGCAAGCAAATACTCACTTTTTGTTGATATTTGAATTAACATTGGGGGAGCAAATGAACTATTTTTCACAAGAAGTTTCTAGTTTAGTCAGACCATTAAAATGTTGATTTTACGCGTGTAGTGTCTCAAAGTTGACAGAGTGAAAAGGGCTAAAGTTTTATCGAAACAAGTTGACTTATGTCCTGCTGTGAATATGATCACAAGCTTTTTCGTAATTGTTATCTTACACAATTTGAGACGCAATACTTCTCGACTGTACGTAGTAACATCTTCGCGATGCCAGTCATGTGATTTCTATTGCGTAGCTATGTAATTAATAAGTCATGACCGCATATTGAACTTGATTATCCGACGCAATAATGCAGAATTGCATATATCGCTATAATTTTGGTTATACAATAGGCACGGAAGCAATTCAAGTATCAGCTAAGAGCATATAAGGAGCTCAGTATGATTGGTAATATGAGTCTCGCCAAAATATGAGAATTGGGATCATTATTCACTTGCAAGCAGAAAAAAAATATGTTTAGACTAAAATCAATTTCACTCTTTTTGACAAACATTATTTTAAAATTTAATATTTTATCTCACTACACGATAAAATTTGCTTTCGTTTAAGATGTCAATTCGCTGCCCATAATTGTTAAAAAGTTGTAAACGTTCAAAATAACCAATCTTTCCAAGTTACCGTGAAATGCTACTACCCCCAGTTAATATATATTGCGGGTATATTTTAAGCTAATACAGTCAAGAAGAAACATTAAATGTAAAGAAATCTAAACTAAATAGACAAGTGGTTTTTATTCACGTATATGGGATTTATATTGTTGCAACAATAATTAAAAATGATGAGGTAAGTGACCGAAAACTACAACTCGGCATGTGTGAAGTGTAACTTGGATTTTGTCTGCCTGACATCCTTATTTGAACTGTTGTATTCGTGAAGATATACAATATTAACCAGCGTATGTATAGTGTGTCTGTCGGATCAAGAACTAAACAGCATATCACTAGAAAATACAGCAACAACAGTTTAGCAACCAAACCGTAGGCAAAATATTTTCAAACCCTAACAATTCGCTCGTGTACTGAGAAAATGAATGTTCTTAAAGCTTATACTGGGTTGGAAATATCACTTTCTAAGGAAATCAAATTATAAACATCGGGCGCGGGGAAAATATTTTCGAGGCAGATTAGAAGTTATGGATCTAATGTACTTCGTGAAGAGTCGAAATGTAACTTGAAATTTGGGTACATGTACCCAGTTTGGGACACCCGCTTCACCCAATCTTTAATACGTGCCAATACGGTTCCTGGGAATAACTACATAACTCGATTTTGCTGAGTATTTGTTCAATGCTTAAAATCTTGAGTCAAAACAAAATGGGTCTATGCAATGATGTTAGGTGAAAGAAACCCATGGATTTATATCTTCCTATGAACAGAAGTGAACGTTGGGTAGGGGGGAGACTCGCGCAACACAGATTTCAGAGAAGACTACGGACCGCGATACATTTTTTTTTATCGCATTGCCAATTCTAGAAATATGCAATCAAATTTTTTACAGAAACAAATATTTCTCGTGTTTTGAATTTATTGACTCATTTACATTAGTGCAGAGGCAGGCTGAATTAAAACAATGAAACTGGACCCCATTCTGCAACTAATAACTTGGATTCCTTCACCAACAAAACAAAATAAATAAGTTGGAGGTAAAGTGGCTCACTAAATTCATAGAATAGGATTTATTTACTATTGACCACTAATCTACCAGTGTTTCCCAAACTAGGGGATTTTAAGAGGTCACCTATATTCCGCTGAACTTGAAATAGGGCGCCGCATAGATGAAAAGTGAATTCGATTCAGCAGGGTCGTAAGTATAGGGTCCAATTTCTAATAGCCTCATTGATATTTCCCTGTTCATAGCTTTCATACATATTGCATCAGACTACATTTTAAGCTGCATCATTTCTTTCCATAAGTCCCTGATAGATAAACCACCGGGGTTTTGTGGACTATTTCAGAGTGAGATGTGCAAAGAGATGTTACAAGAAGTTAGATCCGTGACTTTAAATGTTTAATGCGCACAATGACCTACTAGGATTTTGCCGTTGCTTGACATTGTGGTAAATACTATATTATGTCACAAGAAGTCGCCTTTTTATTTAATAAACTCCATGAAGTTTAAGACGATAACGATGTACTTATTTTTTTACCAAATCAGAAAATATGGTAGCAGATATGAATTTGGGATTTTTTGAATATACTCGCGCAAAATGTTTTATAAGCTAAACGTTTTCGTCCTTGGTTATATTCACAATATTCAATGAACGCCCACGCTAACCAGTGTATAGTCTAGACTCTAGACTAGCGTTTCCCAAACTTTTTCGGCCACGGAACACTTACACTTTTTATCTCGCCTCGCGGAACACCAAAAAATGAAAGAGTAAAATTGATAAAGAAAAATGGTGTAATGTAGCGGTTCCCAATGGAACGCGCCACGAAAACTAACAGAATTGTGTTAAACATACCTAAAATATGATCGAATATTCTACATATTGCATTTATTTTAAATGTTTTATTGTTTCTTAATTTAAATGCTGTGTATATTAGTCAATTCATTTATTTTACCATTCTATGTCGTTTACTTTCCATTACGCAGTGTTTGCCTCTAATGTTACGTCTAATGGAGATAGAAGTACTGCAGACCTGCAGTTCATTTATCTGCTGAATAGAGTTTAGCGAAAATGAGTAATTTTATCAGTATTTCAAAGTAAAACCAGGTAGAGATGGGGGAAGAAGAGTTGACCTTTTGCCTTTATTCTTTAGACCTACTTATTCGGCTATGACATAACCAAAGGAATGCTGTAAACTTGATAATGTTAGTCTGTTTTGGTTTAGACCGACGGTGACGCGATATCGTATGGTCAGTTGGGCGACGACTTCATGTTCCATAGATCGCCATGACGACCATTTTAGTCGCATTTTTGATTCCTTTCCACGGAACACTTCGAAGACGCTCGCGGGACACTAGTGTTCCGCGGAACACAGTTTGGGAAACGCTGGTCTAGACCAGTGGTCACCAAACTTTAAAAAAAAAAATCATGGCGGACCCCTTGCAATGTTTTTAATAATTACCGACATTGTGCACTGAAACAAAACATTGAAGATCACAACCGAAAATCAATGCGCAGTGAAATGAAAAACATTGAAATAGAATAAAAGAATGTGATGAAGTTTATTGAAATGGGTGTTTCGTTGTACACTTAGGGCTGGGCATTTTCGAATACCTGATGATTTCAGAATCGAATCGAATAATTTTTTCGAATCGAATCTCGAATACTTGGGAGATATAAAATTTTATGTAACTTTCTTATTGTATTAGGTCCTCCAGACACATAAATTATCGAAAACATAGAATACATCACTCAGGCAGATTGCTGAGCGTTCACACCCAATAAAAAACACGTTTTCATCAATACCTCACCACAGAAAAGAGTCATATGTCAGAATTGCGTTGAAAAGTATGGCTTCAATAAAAAATTTGAAAAATTTACCTCGACCATTAGCGGAAAGTAAAAAAATAAGATGACGGCGACTCGAAATTTTGCTCTGAACCGATTCGAATAATTTCATATTCGATTCGAAATGCCCAGCCCTAGTGGTACAGCATCATTAAGAGGACTGGCACAACTTCCTACTTGTAACACATTTAGGGAATATTAGTAATTTTAACAAAAGTTTTACAGCAAAGAAGAAATGATGACCTTGAAAAATCCCAACTGGCCAAAAAATTTTATAATTCCCAAAAATCTCTTTATATATAACACGTCGCTGTAAATTATAACACATTCGTACTAATCGGGCCAGAACTTTTATTGATCCCAAAACAGAACTATCGTTCATGTAACATGTCACCGTGAATTGGTTCACGAGATATAATGATCGCGTCGATTTTTTTTATGTAACTCCGTGTCTTGTGTGTTATGATCATTCAGCTTGGTTATTCAAATTTATGATTCAACTTCGTTGATCGTTATTTTGAATTATTCTGTGTCGTTATAATACAACAATTGAAAGGCTGGTGATTCATTATTCGTCCTGTTGACTGGGAATTCGCGTTGCTTCCTCAAAGCTTCAATTAACCAAAAGTTCGTGTTCTTCGTCTAAGTTTAGGACAGCTTTACGATACCAAGCTTTCTAAACAACCTCCTATATCAACAGTCAACAAACGTACAAAAAACAGCGTCAGCTACACATCTACAATTCGTAAGCTTGTAAGGGCAGCAACTCCCTCTGCGATATCACAGGCTCATAGCCCTATGACATCTCAGTGATGAAGCATGTTCGAAACAGAAAGTGACAAATCAGTGTCTCTAGCAGTGATTTTGTAGCAGCAAAAGCCGACAAATGTGCATTTGCAAATTTCAGCACTTAATTTTTGTACTATCAAGCTAGGAGACATATAACAGATTTTTTTCGCGAACCCGCCAAAAGAGCTTCAAGGACTCCAAAAGGTCCGCGGACCCCACTTTGGGAAGTACAGAGCTAGTCGTTTCCTACTTTCCTAAATAAGACGTTTTGCAAGAACTGCTTCTATTTATAATTATTTTAGGATATAAAATTGAGTGCAAAATATTTCCAATCACTAACTAAACGTACGTCAAAGTTTTGCGAAAACTGCTTCCAATGCCATTATTTTGGAAAATAAAATTTATTAAAAGATGTTTGTTTTATAAAACTAATGCCACATATTATGTATCACTTTTACTGTGATTATCTATTGTTTAAACTTGATAGTAGTAGAAACGTTTGCTCATATTAAAGTTTTATATTTCGAATTTTATTTATTTTTTATTTGACGGAGATTTTATTTATGTGATCGCTGTTTCTTTAATATTATTTTAGTTCTAAATAAACTCCGTGAGTTTGTTAAATTTAAACAAACATATGAAGAAAGACTATATATTCTCAATACAAATAGCAGAGAAAATCAGTTTGTTCGCTGTGTAAGAGGTAGCTTATCGAAGATTTAAAACATTTTCAACCCAAACTCAGGTAAAATGTGTTTTATTTTTATTCGTACTTCAGTACGAACCTCTAAGACATTGTTTCCCATTCCGAGTCCGCGGTCTCAAATGAGTCCACAAAGCGTTTGAATGAGTCCGCAACGAGCAAAAAATTCTCTGCGGGCCGCAAATGTTGTTGCGAAACTTAACTATCAGCTAAGTTACGATTTATATTAGAATTTACATAAAACATAAAAGGCAAGTATATTTGCATAACATTAATCGACTCAATAATTACTGGTTACTGAGTAGGACTGGAAATATATTCAAATATTCAACTATTTTACTATTAGAATAGCAATTTACTATTCCAAAATTTGGTAATAGGAGAAGCGACAGGTCATTTGCGCGTCGCTTAATCAAACGATTGGATTTCACAACTCACTTGCGGATTTCCGACGAAAACACGCGTCCAATAGATAACTAGGTGGTGTTTCTCGGGAGTTCGAACAACGAAGAATAAATTTTTTACCGGTAGTTGTCAATGGTGGCAACCCAAATTTTCTAAATTGGAAAATAAAATAAAAAATACTAAAAATAAAACGGAAAACACCATAAGTTTTATTTTATGATTGTCCGCGACCGATTAAAAACGCTTTTTTAGACATTGCAAATCGCAAAATTTCTGGTGCACGATTGGATTTCATAACTCACTTGCGGATTTCCGACGAAAACACGCGTCGATAGATAACTAAGTGATGTTTCTCGCGAGTTCGAACAACGGGGAATAAATTTTTTACCGGTAGTTGTCAATGGTGGCAACACAAATTTTCTAAATTGAAAAAGTGAAAAAAAAAATTAAAACGGAGAACACCATGACTTTACACCTACGGCAGTACTTTACGTACCAATGTGTAGGCAGGAAAACAACGAATCTTGAGGGGAAATGCCCTGGTACGTATACTACGGTAGCACCCAAAATTTTGCGAGTTGCAATGTCCAAAAAAGCGTTTTTATTCGGTCGCGGACCATCATAAAACAAAACTATGGTGTTTTCCGTTTTATTTTTAGTCTTTTGTATTGCCGCTTTCTAATTTGGAAAATTTGGGTGGCCATCATTGATACCTACCAAAAAAGAAAATTTTTCCTCGTTGTTCGAACTCACGAGAAACACCACTTAGGTATCTATTGGAGATGTACAGACTCGTGATTTCGCCGGAAATCCGCAAGTTGTGAAATCCAATCGTTCGAACCCATCTGTTACCAAATTTTCGAATAGTAAATTGATATACTAATAGTTGAATATTCGAATATATGCCCAGCCCTACACAGTAACCAGTAATTATTGACTCGATTAATGGTATGTGAAAAGACTCACTTTTCATGTTTTATGTAAATTCTGACGTAAATCGTAACTTGGCTGATAGTTAAATTTCGCAAAAACGTTTGCGACCCGCAGTGAATTCTGTCTCGTTGCGGACTCATTCAAACGCTCCGCGGACTCATTTGAGACCGCGGACTCGGGTTGGGAAACACTGAGATAGAATTTAATATTCAAGTCATCAGAAATGTCGAATATATATTGTTGATTAAATTGAATGGATTTCCCAACTTTTGTGAATTTATGTATGTCATTGACAAAAATATTTGTCCGGCTCGTTTCAACACAGTTTGAGTCTTACCCGGCCCGCGGTCAAAAAAGTTTGATTACCCCTGAATTAGACAATCGATCTTTAATTTAAAGGGTAGTCGAATATTCAGTCAATTTTTAATTTCAGACTTATGCGATAAATAAAATACAACAATAAACTTGTTGGTAGTTGAGTTTATGAATCAATGCTGAATCATGAAAATGGTCTTAATGACCTTTAGTTCGTTGTATCCAATGAGGGATGTTAATTTCAGGAATTGAAATTTCTGTTTCATGATATCAAGAGATTTACCTTCATAATAACAAACTCCTGCTTCGCAAAGTCTGCCATCATTACAGTCTTTATCTGTTGTACATTCTGCGGAAACGAAAAATTGGAAAGATATTAAATCTGAGACATTCACAACAATCAGGCAAGCCTAATATCGTAGCACAAAAAATGGTGATCGATAATTTCAGTTACATCTGACTTGTTATATTGAATATGGAAATGATGCTTTTGCTGTAGGGTATGAAACTATATATTTAAAGCACGGCATCCTCGATATAGAAATTTTACCACCAAAGGTATATGTGTTGCAGCAAGTCGTTTAGACGGGTGCTTCGGCTCGAATGAAATATTTTAACGAAACTTATAGTTCGGTTTGGTGTTTAAGATTGATAAACAAATGCCGCCTGATTCTGGACATGGGTATGAATATTGTCTCCAAAACACGAGACAAAGCTTTGTAACTCTGTTTTGTTTATGGACGGATTCTTTTGAAGAAAAGTTATCTGCATAATTCTATAGATTCAAGCGATGAGAAATGTAGAACTTCAAAATCTATGTCAAATAATTTAAAGTTTTACTAAATATATATAACAAAACAAACTTTCGTTCACACTCCATAGATCTTTTCGTCCGTATGTGCCATCCAGTAACATCAACATTACAGCAGCAGACAGCATGATCGATACAAGTAATATCCGCATATTGACTTATAGGTGTTAAAATATTTTTCTCAAAACTAGATATACTGAATTCGAAAAAAAATAACAAAATATAAAACCGTATTGTCGCATGTTGGAAAAATAATTTGAACCTCCTTTCTCTTAGAGCAGCGTTTCCCAACCTTTTTTGGTCGCGGACTATTTTCTCATTAACGAAAACCTTCGCGGACTCACTCTGTGCGAAGAAGCAATAAAACCAAAAACAACAGAATTTTAACGAATTTCAAAATCGAAAATTTGCCGCAGTTTCACGTTCGTTAAAAGAGTCGACTTTTGTAGTGTATACTAGCCTTTTCTGTCGCACAATATTTAATCCATGACAACGACGAGAATCTAGAATGCCGTTCTATTTTAATTCGATTGCGTTCATGGTAACTCGCGGTTGCGTCGATTTACGATAAACTGAAAGCATTACTTCTTAAAAATGCCACGGTATTCTGCGAACATAATAATGTGAGAATATATTGCCCGATTATATTTAGTTTTGATACATATTTTTTGCGATCTTGCGAATTTGTTATCGCAGTTAGAAAAATCCTACTATCTGCTATAAATGTCCAGAAGGTACAACCCGTGGACACAAAAATGCGTGGTGCCCAATTATATTTTGTTTTGATTCGTATTTTTGTGAACTCAACAAATCTGAACGTACCAACGTGGAGGCAGCAAAGCAAATAATCCTAAGGGAAAATACCCTGGTACGTGTACTCCAGTAGCATCCTCAATTTTGCGATTTGCAATGTCTAAAAAAGCGTTTGTAATCGGTCGGACAATCATAAAACAAAACTCATGGTGTTCTCCGTTTTAATTTTTTTTTTCACTTTTTCAATTTAGAAAATTTGTGTTGCCACCATTGACAACTACCGGTAAAAAATTTATTCCCCGTTGTTCGAACTCGCGAGAAACATCACTTAGTTATCTATCGACGCGTGTTTTCGTCGGAAATCCGCAAGTGAGTTATGAAATCCAATCGTGCACCAGAAATTTTGCGATTTGCAATGTCTAAAAAAGCGTTTTTAATCGGTCGCGGACAATCATAAAATAAAACTTATGGTGTTTTCCGTTTTATTTTTAGTATTTTTTATTTTATTTTCCAATTTAGAAAATTTGGGTTGCCACCATTGACAACTACCGGTAAAAAATTTATTCTTCGTTGTTCGAACTCCCGAGAAACACCACCTAGTTATCTATTGGACGCGTGTTTTCGTCGGAAATCCGCAAGTGAGTTGTGAAATCCAATCGTTTGATTAAGCGACGCGCAAATGACCTGTCGCTTCTCCTATTACCAAATTTTGGAATAGTAAATTGCTATTCTAATAGTAAAATAGTTGAATATTCGAATATATTTCCAGTCCTACTCAGTAACCAGTAATTATTGAGTCGATTAATGTTATGCAAATATACTTGCATTTTATGTTTTATGTAAATTCTAATATAAATCGTAACTTAGCTGATAGTTAAGTTTCGCAACAACATTTGCGGCCCGCAGAGAATTTTTTGCTCGTTGCGGACTCATTCAAACGCTTTGTGGACTCATTTGAGACCGCGGACTCGGAATGGGAAACAATGTCTTAGAGGTTCGTACTGAAGTACGAATAAAAATAAAACACATTTTACCTGAGTTTGGGTTGAAAATGTTTTAAATCTTCGATAAGCTACCTCTTACACAGCGAACAAACTGATTTTCTCTGCTATTTGTATTGAGAATATATAGTCTTTCTTCATATGTTTGTTTAAATTTAACAAACTCACGGAGTTTATTTAGAACTAAAATAATATTAAAGAAACAGCGATCACATAAATAAAATCTCCGTCAAATAAAAAATAAATAAAATTCGAAATATAAAACTTTAATATGAGCAAACGTTTCTACTACTATCAAGTTTAAACAATAGATAATCACAGTAAAAGTGATACATAATATGTGGCATTAGTTTTATAAAACAAACATCTTTTAATAAATTTTATTTTCCAAAATAATGGCATTGGAAGCAGTTTTCGCAAAACTTTGACGTTCGTTTAGTTAGTGATTGGAAATATTTTGCACTCAATTTTATATCCTAGAATAATTATAAATAGAAGCAGTTCTTGCAAAACGTCTTATTTAGGAAAGTAGGAAACGACTAGCTCTGTACTTCCCAAAGTGGGGTCCGCAGACCTTTTGGAGTCCTTGAAGCTCTTTTGGCGGGTTCGCGAAAAAAATCTGTTATATGTCTCCTAGCTTGATAGTACAAAAATTAAGTGCTGAAATTTGCAAATGCACATTTGTCGGCTTTTGCTGCTACAAAATCACTGCTAGAGACACTGATTTGTCACTTTCTGTTTCGAACATGCTTCATCACTGAGATGTCATAGGGCTATGAGCCTGTGATATCGCAGAGGGAGTTGCTGCCCTTACAAGCTTACGAATTGTAGATGTGTAGCTGACGCTGTTTTTTGTACGTTTGTTGACTGTTGATATAGGAGGTTGTTTAGAAAGCTTGGTATCGTAAAGCTGTCCTAAACTTAGACGAAGAACACGAACTTTTGGTTAATTGAAGCTTTGAGGAAGCAACGCGAATTCCCAGTCAACAGAACGAATAATGAATCACCAGCCTTTCAATTGTTGTATTATAACGACACAGAATAATTCAAAATAACGATCAACGAAGTTGAATCATAAATTTGAATAACCAAGCTGAATGATCATAACACACAAGACACGGAGTTACATAAAAAAAATCGACGCGATCATTATATCTCGTGAACCAATTCACGGTGACATGTTACATGAACGATAGTTCTGTTTTGGGATCAATAAAAGTTCTGGCCCGATTAGTACGAATGTGTTATAATTTACAGCGACGTGTTATATATAAAGAGATTTTTGGGAATTATAAAATTTTTTGGCCAGTTGGGATTTTTCAAGGTCATCATTTCTTCTTTGCTGTAAAACTTTTGTTAAAATTACTAATATTCCCTAAATGTGTTACAAGTAGGAAGTTGTGCCAGTCCTCTTAATGATGCTGTACCACTAGGGCTGGGCATTTCGAATCGAATATGAAATTATTCGAATCGGTTCAGAGCAAAATTTCGAATCGCCGTCATCTTGTTTTTTTACTTTCCGCTAATGGTCGAGGTAAATTTTTCAAATTTTTTATTGAAGCCATACTTTTCAACGCAATTCTGACATATGACTCTTTTCTGTGGTGAGGTATTGATGAAAACGTGTTTTTTATTGGGTGTGAACGCTCAGCAATCTGCCTGAGTGATGTATTCTATGTTTTCGATAATTTATGTGTCTGGAGGACCTAATACAATAAGAAAGTTACATAAAATTTTATATCTCCCAAGTATTCGAGATTCGATTCGATTCGAAAAAATTATTCGATTCGATTCTGAAATCATCAGGTATTCGAAAATGCCCAGCCCTAAGTGTACAACGAAACACCCATTTCAATAAACTTCATCACATTCTTTTATTCTATTTCAATGTTTTTCATTTCACTGCGCATTGATTTTCGGTTGTGATCTTCAATGTTTTGTTTCAGTGCACAATGTCGGTAATTATTAAAAACATTGCAAGGGGTCCGCCATGATTTTTTTTTTAAAGTTTGGTGACCACTGGTCTAGACCAGCGTTTCCCAAACTGTGTTCCGCGGAACACTAGTGTCCCGCGAGCGTCTTCGAAGTGTTCCGTGGAAAGGAATCAAAAATGCGACTAAAATGGTCGTCATGGCGATCTATGGAACATGAAGTTGTCGCCCAACTGACCGTACGATATCGCGTCACCGTCGGTCTAAACCAAAACGGACTAACATTATCAAGTTTACAGCATTCCTTTGGTTATGTCATAGCCAAATAAGTAGGTCTAAAGAATAAAGGCAAAAGGTCAACTCTTCTTCCCCCATCTCTACCTGGTTTTACTTTGAAATGCTGATAAAATTACTCATTTTTGCTAAACTCTATTCAGCAGATAAATGAACTGCAGGTCTGCAGTACCTCTATCTCCATTAGACGTAACATTAGAGGCAAACACTGCGTAATGGAAAGTAAACGACATAGAATGGTAAAATAAATGAATTGATTAATATACACAGCATTTAAATTAAGAAACAATAAAACATTTAAAATAAATGCAATATGTAGAATATTCGATAATATTTCAGGTATGTTTAACACAGTTCTGTTAGTTTTCGTGGCGCGTTCCATTGGGAACCGCTACTTTACACCATTTTTCTTTATCAATTTTACTCTTTCATTTTTTGGTGTTCCGCGAGGCGAGATAAAAAGTGTAAGTATTCCGTGGCCGAAAAAGTTTGGGAAACGCTAGTCTGGAGTCTAGACCAGTGGTTCCCAAACTTTTTTGACAATCGTCCCCCTATACTAGTTTATACAACTTCATCGCCCCCTGGCAATACGGCAAAAAAAATGAAAAGTTAGAAACGAATATATAGACCAAATAAGAAGACAAATCATAGTTTATAGTGTTTTTTAATGAAATAGATGAGGTTGGTGTTCTTCACCTTCTTTTTTATCGTGTCTAAAATTACCCCGTTTACTGGTGGAAAGGCTATTTTGTTGTTTTGATAGCAATAGTAGCACAGCTGAAAACTCCTTTGTCACCATATAATAGGTCGGAAATGAAAGAATCCAGGGTTCTACCTCCTCAAACATCGCCGTGTACTCTTGCCTTATAGTATTTCACTTCCTAAATTCACTCTATTTTACATTAAAATAATAGAAACAAAGTTCATTTTCCCAAACTTATAATAATGATTTTTGTACATCTCATTTATTCGTACAGCATGATGACATGCACCAAAATACTTTGGGGTAAAATTCATCCCCGATTCCTCATCCTACCACGGCCTCCAGTCCGATCACCAGTCCATAATTAATCAGCCATTTGTTTTTGGATTCATGGACTCGGATGTGGAAGAAGCCGTGATCGACTATCGGCTACGGCCCAGGGGACGGCAAATTTTATGTCGCTCGCGGGACAAAATTCAGGGTTGACAGTCTTTTGCGGGTCGCATAAATTTTTTGAAAGTTAAAAACGGAACAGTGCGCAAAAACTGCGACAATTCGGGAACTCAACTCAGTCGTCTTATTAAAAAAATATTACAATGACATTTAATGTGGCACTGTCTTGTTGCTGCATCACGCTGGATAGATTTACGACGCCAAGATTGGAATATTTTCTAAATGGGAATCACTAATCCCAGTTCTTTGCTTTAGGATATAATAAAATTTAGTCCAAACGTGTCTCACGATAAATTCTGTTACGTAAAAAAATGTAATTTACTCATCGAGCGTAGATTATAAATAAAAAAAATTTTATCGTCAAAACCGCCGTTTGAATGTTTACCCGGACATAGACTTCCTTGTTTACTTCGTAACATTGGCCAATCAGCAAGATGCAAAAAACTTGACAATGCCCCCTTTCACATCCGCTCAGACACGCTCACTCAGACAGATTCTCAGGCGTGGTCGTGAACATTACCTCAGTTTTGCGATTTTGAATTATGTTCGTTAGTTTTTAGTTGTTTTTCGGGAATTTAAATATAAATCAAATAAATCAATGATTACTTTGTCTTCTTATGAGTTTCAGTTAAATTACAGGAATCAAAAATTAGTGTAGAAATAGCTGTGATAGACTAGGCTCAAATTCTTTATCGGTACTTTTAAAAAACAGATTGTTGAATGGTGTGTATTAGAATGATAGTTTGAAACAAATACCCCATTTTACAGGCAACAACTCGCGAAACCACACTTAAAATAAACACCGAAAATTTTAAAATGGTAAAGTATGGAAAGAATTTTCCGCGGTCAAAGGTCGGGGAAGGTCCATTCAGTGAATCGTCCCGGGCCAGATTAATTTACTGCGGCCGTATTTTGCCGACCACTGGGATACGCAACTACCGTACCTTACTGCGAAGACGAGTCCAGAAATCCTTTCGCGTGTGATAATCGCCCACGTGATTCAAGCCTGCGAATGCACACAGATTACAGAATTAAGTGCGCCAAACATAAAACAGGTTTCGCTAAATCGCCCCCCTATCGCCCCCTACAACTTTTTCGCCCCCTTCTGTATCGTTTTCGCCCACTGGGGGGCAATATCGCCCACTTTGGGCATCACTGGTCTAGACCAGTGATTCTCAAACTAGGGTTTGAGAGCCGCATGCGGCTCTCAACAACCTTCCCTGCGGTGTTTATTTGCGTAGCGTTGACTAACCTACAAGATACAATAGTGACGCAACAGTGAGCGTTTTCGCGGACACTCGGACACTTTTCGCTTGGAAAAATTTCAGACATGGCTGTAATCATTGGCTTGCTTTCGTGGATTTTCAGTTTGTGTCGCATTTCCAGATCTTATGTATAAATCAAATAACTCAATCATTATTTTAATTTCTAGAGCATTTTAATTTTGTTCCAGAAATCGAAAATAGTCGATATCCTAAAGTTGGTATTCTATATTTCCGCCCTTTCTCGTTTCTGCAAGAATAAGTGGTCGCCGAATATCGAAATTCCATATTTCTGGTATACCCTTGCGTCCTCATTAGCGACAGCTGTTGAATACATTTAAGGACTGATTTCAAAACCAAATTAATTATATTCTGAGTTTTATCCTCTGCCTTGGATTTGATCTGCCTTGGATTTGATCTTCCTTATCACCGCTTGTAAATTAACCGCGCCTGTTTTAAGTGAACGGTAACCGAGATGCAGATATTTATTATAATGAGTTTCTCATGCTTTTCTATGATGTTATTTTAGTATTAGATAGATAAACCTAGCAAATTTACGAATGCGTGAATCCTGAAAGTTGATTTAAAATAGCGATTAAATAAATTGTCAATAAAGGCATTTTAGGCCTTTGTGCCTAACAGAGTGTCAGACTTTAATTGTACCTGATTACTTCAAGTTTTAACGTTTTTTTTTTTCAACAAAACAACACCCCGATGGTTATTATAGCTAAAATACTTACTCAGTAATTTTCTTTACGGAATTTGCAAATTCAGCACTTCACTTGATGATTTTGATTATATCATGCCTTATGGCTTAATTATTACTGCCCAAATGCTTCAAAATTTAACAATTGTAATCATTTTCGATGATAATAGACGCAACAATTTGTGAACGAGTCAGTGTGCATTGTTACAACGAAATTCACGATTGATTTTACGTTCTACTCTGGGCTCAACTTGGCTCGACGGCCATGCATGGTCGAGTAAAATGTTTACATATTCGAAAAATTACTTGGCAAAGGATGGAAGGGACCACTAAAGAGCTAATACAAAATGCTTTAAAGGGAGTAAGACATGGCATTTCTTATCTGGTTACAACTTAATGAATTTTTCCCATACAAGTAACTCATACCAGCTTTTGGAAAAACTTTTGGTCATTTTTTAAATCCATGCTATTTACATAACTAGAGTGTTTTAACGACCTAAAATCGCCTTTTTCACAATGAAACGCCGAAATGTCATTTTAACATTTAATTTTAAGCAACTTTATGTTCGGTAATACAAGAAATGGCTAATGACATGTCACCAAGCATGCCGAGTTTAAATCTGGGAAATTTATTTTAAATACCTAATCTGGTTTGACGTTTCTAAATTTACGGAACGGTCGGTACGTTTTTTTTTTTCAAAACGATGAATTGAAAGGATACCATAAGTGCAAAAATAA